TGTTTTATCATGCCTTAATCCTCACCAAAAGGCTCTCAACCACATCGTCATTAACCGTAAGGGCTGTACAATCAAACCTCTCCCTTACACACAGTGCAGCTCCTCCACCCTGCCTGCCTTTCCTATTCTTCCCGAACAGCACACAGCCCTCCATCCCAGCTGTCCAGCCGTGCTCTGGGAGCTAACTAACGCCTCCAGTTCATTCTGTTTGTGTCTTGTATCACCTGTGTTGATGTATAAGCATTTCAGACACGTCCCCGAACCCTCCATGCTCCCAGGAGCAAAGCAGATGTTCCCACAGGCATGGTGATGCCATACCAACCCCCGGCTGACCTTCAGCAGTCCTGTTGGTATCTTGCTTCCATTGACTCTAAAGCCCTTTAGATCAGTCCCATCAGCTCACATGGTGCATTGTTTGCATTGCTACACAGTTAACGTGTATATAACTCCGAACTCTGAAAACATATTACATTTTAGTCTAGTCTAAAAATACGTAAGTGGCAAGAATTAAGTATATATTCATCCACATTTAAATGAAAAGAGCCATTAGACTTCGCTACAGTTAAATGTTTGTACTAAAAAAGGAAAATTACTCTTTGGTACCTAAACTGCCAAGTTATTTTTAAAACTGCATCTGGAATCCTCTTTTTAAAATATTCACATATTCAGTGGATTGAATTCATAAATGTAATGGCACTTTTGTTATATCTTTGGACTTGCAATGCAATTAGTATTCAAAAAAAACCCCAAATTATCTGACTTATTACTTAGAGGTATTCAGGTCAAAGATGGAGCATAATACAACTAAATAAACACTTCAGCATTTAAAACAATAAGGCTAGATTTTGTAAGTAAACAGCCAGCTTTTGACTTTGGCATCTCTCTGAAAAACAAGCATTAAAACCTGTTCCAGACCCAGAAGCTTCTACTGCTTTTGCATAGAACTGCTGATGACTTTGAAAACTGCCAGTTGCACGACTGCATTGACTCAGAAGTAAATGAAACAACATAATTACCAGGATAAGGTGAACTTGAGCAACACGTGTCCATCCTTGCATTCAGTTGGAGCTTTTTGAGTTGTTACACTATTTTTATTTCGTTTCCTTTGCAGAACTGGCACGTTATGCTTCTGCTGCAGCTCTGCATTATTCTGAACGCGCAAACACAAATTTTAGGGTTTTCCACCTGCTGTTACAAAGAGGAAGCCTAGGCTGTTAATATTCTAACTTACAATGTTCAAACTGTGATCCATGACCAACAGGGCAGACCAAACATCTCCTTGGCTTGACTAAGGAAAGCTGAATATACATTAATGGCACATTAGCAAACTCTTAATAATTTGAAGAATGTCATGTGGATATTACCTAATGCTGACCAAGGTAAAAAGAGACAATTTTTACAATAGGGTATGGTGTACGCTTTTAAAATATCTGAAAACACTTCTAAGAACACAACTATAGTAAAGCAAAATAACTACTGAGTGAGCAAGTTATGATCGCAGTTGTCTTTCTGTCTCTAACAATTACCTAAAAGTATGACAGTTTTGGAGAAAAATTCCAATACTGAGGAAAAAGTGTTCGTGTACTTCAGTCTTTTGTTCTTGTAAATACAACTTTGACAGGTGAATTACTGGTTAGAATGAACAGCAAAGACGGACTCAGATGCTGGGTCACAAACTTTCACTAAAAATTTTCAGGGTTGAGATTAGCAATAGGTTTACCTATTTCCAATGAATTTTCGCATCAGAGTTTTAAAGAAAAGCACTGTTAAGCCAAATCCTCTAAACATTCTATTTAAAAGAAATATATATCCAGCAATACATTTTAAAATCTGCAGATCTTGGATTCAAAGGTGTACAAGGTACTGAGTGTATTGTGAAAGGAAACTAGTAATTACAATTTTACTTATTAAAAACTTCACTTTTCATAGTATTACCAAAAAATATCTTTGAAATTGCATCTACTTCCTAATGGGCTTTATAATAAAAATTTAATTATTCATAGGATTTCATGGATATATCCTAATTCGAGCAGATAAAAGAGCAAGTGTTAAAACATTAGTGTATCTAACTTTTTCCAAATATTATAATAATTTATATGCTATTTCAAAGTACAAACTGTCTGGCTGGTGTGAATAAACACAGAGATCTGGTTTTGTTGCAGTCAAAGTTTCAGGATACATAAATTTTTTTATTTAACAGCTGAAAGGGCAGACATCATATATAGCTTAGTCCACAACACTGTTACCTGATGATTCATCTTCTGTATAACAAGACTATTAAAACACCATGTCTTAATTTAATTATGTGGCTGAACACTGTATGACTCATCCTAGAAAGCTGAATATCTGGTCTAAATAAATGTCCTTTTTGTACTAACGAGTCATCTTTCCAGGTTTGACTTTTTCACTGCATGTACCCACAACAGTTCAACTCCTCCTATTTCCATTTCATCCCATACAACACAGTTCCCCTTCACCTTTCTTTATGGCATAAGTCATGAGTGTAATTGTAGTTAAATAAAGAAATTTGCTTGTTTGAACACATATGTCTAGTCAAATCAGCAGCAGTATGGTAACCCTATTTGACAATAGCAAGGGAGCGTTAATCGGTAGGAGAAAACTTCAGGTTTGCTTTATTTTGTTTCTTACATTAATAAAAAGTCTAGGAATATGCACTGACAGCTGCTGCCTGTTCTTTTATAATTTCCAGTAACCAAGCACAATGAAGTTCATCCCATTATAAACCAAATGAACTTCTCAATCAGGGATGAGTTCAACTATAAAATGTAATCTAACAAACATGTAAGTAGTGGGCTATATAAGCCATATTGTGGGCAATATAAGACTCAACAGTCTTTCAAATTACTTATTGCATCCGTGAAATGGTGGTTTTGACTCATTGCTTGCAGGTGCCAATTCAGACTGTGATGAATGTGCAATAAAATAAAGACTAAAGTTCTTACAATAACTTAAACCATAAGAATAAAAGGGTCAACTAAAATTTCCAGTTTCTCTTCCACATCAAAATGCATATAAATTCCAGTACTTTTAATCTTTAACTAACAAGATAGAAAAGCTACCTCCAAAGTTTACAGTGTGATACAAATCTATCACGCAACACAAGCGTCTCACAGATTTACATATGGAACGGGCTATATCTCCTGCCTGATGCATCTTGGACTTGTCCTGCACAAGAGATAACAGAGAAAGCTCCATCTCAGAAGGGAGCTGCAAGGTGCTCGTGCTGCCGATTGCTCTGGAGGAGCAGACAAAAGTACACACATGGAAAGAAAACACAAGTACTACCTTCAATCCAAGGTCAAAATTGAATCAAGGTACATGTCTGGATGAAACTGTACGGTTAAGAGCATTAAAAAAAATACCTCCTTTTACACTGAGATAAAGAATCAATCTCTATCAGAATAGCTATGATTGACAAAGGAGGGCAATGCAAGCAAAGCATGTGTCATGTTATCTAAGAATTTGTGAAGGAAAAGCATCTCAAAAATAAGATGTGTCTCTATAGAAAACTATGCAGCATACTGACTTTTCAGCAGCCTTTTTCCTCATCATTTTGTTTTCTATGCTTAAGTGGTGTAACCAAAGCAGTATCACAATTACTCTGAAAAATCATTAGCCTTCTTTCTATCTCAAATGTCCCATTAGAGGCACATTTCACACTGAAGAAATCAACTATCACTTAATGAGTGAATTTGAGGTTTTGAAAAGCTCAGATCCTTTTGTTTTACTGACAGTAATGAAAAAGCAGAATGTCAGAGCACAGGAAAGTTACATAGGATACAAAGACAAAAGAAGAATATTCCAAGTTTTCTTTCACACTAAGGAAGAGCACTTTCAGGCTCCGCGGTTGAACTGTTAGGTCATTGCACCTCCTAAGGCAGCATCCTCTGCACAATCCAAGTTTGGATACTTCAGCTGACTTTGAAAGGTGGCACCTTGGGTTGCACACCCTCTTTCAGGTCCAGACCAAGATCTCTCTTCATCCCTTAATTTTATAGCAATTTTTCTTCTGAACAATAACACCCAATTTCTAGTTTTCTATTTGCCTGTTTTGTTCTGATACTCACCTGGAGGAAGAGGTTCTGCACAAGTGGAAGACACAAAGGTGAATTCAGGAAGTGCTGAAGAGTCACAGAAACTAAATTAACTGGCCTCTTTCACACATTGCTATGTCAAGGTCAGGGAGTCATGGCAATCCCCCCAAGCATTCATTGACACAAATAGAAAAAAAAATAAATCTGGAACTTGCAATGTGTATGTTCAATAGCATTTTAAAAGGTTGCTATAGAAACCAGATATATCCACCACAGTTACCAAGCCACTGTAAAAACCCTAAGCAAAAGGTCTTTGACAAAATTAAAGGGAATGTTCCACCCTTTAACCTTTAGATATAAATGTTTACAAGTGATGTCTTTCATAGCTATTACCAGTGTATGTGGCAAAGTAAGGATTGAAATCACAGATAAACATTGGATAATTTCTCTCTAATAAAACTGCTGCAATGCCACCATCTTCAACAATTTTTATGAACCATGATCTATTTTTTAAACACGAGTATCAATGACATTTGTCAGACGTTTTCAGAAAAATATTACAAGCCAAAAGCTATTCACCACAAACATGCAGCAAGTATCTTAAGGTCTGTGGGATCTGTGGGTCTTAAGGGGATGGCTGTGTCTCTGCAGCATCTTACAAAAACATGCCACCTAGAAGCCCTTGGATCAGAAGAGAGCATACTTCTGCGACTGTAAAGATGCAAATAAAGACATGAACCCCCCTGCCTTCACTGACTGCAAACAGGAGTCTCTTTTCTTTAACCATAGGGGTTATAGGGTGATAGGGTAATATAATCTAAGCATAGTTATTCCATAAGTTTCACCATATTCAAAGAGAGAGACACACAAATTATTCAGGCTATCCTCTGCTGTTACCTGGTGATCCCAGCTCACTTTAAAAGAAACAGCTTTCAGTAATTTTACCTTTGGACTGTTCACTATTTTCCCATGTTTCTTGAATCTTTCTTTCCCGTCCAACACACTGCTGAAACCAGGGTGTCCCATAGCCATTGCTAATTAATCTGCTAAAGTTTACTGCTTCACTTCTTCTCTCAGTAGGCCTGTAAATCCAAATGTATTCAGGAAAACAAATGCATAAGTAAACAAAACCAGGGACTAGGTGAGAAAATTCTATTTTGCACAGAAGGCGCAACAGCTTTGTAACATAATTCATTTCTGAAAAACTAAACATGTATTCTACACATAATCATCCAAGAAAAAAACAAAAACAAAATATCCAAAGCACACCTGATTCTGTCACGTGTAATTTTACATGAGAAAGGCCTTGATTTTATTGGAATTTTACATGTATAATACTAACGCAGTTCTGGTCCCAGAAACAAAAAAGTGAAAAAAGGAAATCACACAGAAGCATAAGTAAAAAAAGGTTGACAATACTCATCCGGTGCTGCAGAAAGGTGAAATTTTGTCACAGATCTGTTCTTAAGTGCATTACACAGATGAAGCACTTATTTTGTGTCATTAACAAAAGAATCTAAAACAAAGTGGAGTTACTGATGATGGCATAATAAATTTTTAAGACAAAGCATGCAGAAACAATTCAGCTGTGCACATAGCTGATGTTGTGGTTACATCACATCACAGGTGACAGAATGATTTGCTTTAAAGACTATTGCCTTCCAGGTGTTCATAACATTATTTTTGCTGTGCCTGACCTTATATAGGCTACATTTTTTGTGTTTTCTTAAAATGGTAGCCCTACTTGTGTCTCTGCAACCTATGCTTCCAGAACTAACAATGTACATTGTCCTTTGCATCTGCTCGCTGGTATTGAGGGGGGAAAAAAAACCACAAATCAGAACACAACAATATGTGCTACATGGAGACATGCAACTCTATGCTTGGTTTTCCAAAAGCTTTCATTTACAAGTTAAAGTGCTATTTTACTAGAAAACAACTCCCATGAAAACACCTATGAGAGAAGATTACAAAATAGATGTAAACACGCCACGACTTCTCAAGGAGCCTGTGCACATTTAGTATGGAAAGAGCAAAGAAAAGTAAAAAGGTATTTGAATATATCTAATCAGTGAACTAATTAATAAGCCACTAAAAGAAGCAGACCTGAATGGTCAGAGACTGTAAGTTTTCTTATTTTGTGGAAGTGAAGCCTTGGGCAGACCATTCTGCTGTTTCTGAAACAGGCTGTCAGTGCAAACCAAGGTGTAAAGTCAGTGCCAAAATCCCTTCAGACTTCAATGAAGTCTGAGTTTCACCAGAAAAAAAAAAAAAAAACAACCCGATTTTGCTAAAGAATAAGTGGATGGGCTACTGGATTTCAGCCTGACTGGTGTTAAAGCTTAAAGAGATGAAAAACTGGAACGCTTGTCAAAGAAGAATAGATGATACTATCAAGAGCATGCAGTGATGTCAGAGGCAATGATGTCAGATGAAGCGGGAGGGAGGTGTTGTCCAACCTGGGGGTTAAAAAAATGCATCAGCTGCTTACAACTGCTTACAACTGCTTTTCCAATCCATTAACACTACTGTCTGCTGAAGCAGCCTATCTGTGCTTTACATTTCAAAAATGCTGTCCTATTCTGCAAAAAACGTCAGTGCTGTCTTCTATCATTACACTGTTACCACTGCAGACCTGACATATGGTGGAAGTTTCAGATCCAGAACACAGCTACCTACAGTTTCAACTGACAAAATCAATTTAATTAGACAACTAGAAATCATCAAATGCCACCAACTTTTGTCACTTATTGAAGGCATGATGGCACATAGGGCAACATAAAATAACAAATGCATTCAATAGGCAGGATATACAAACAGCAGATGGAAAGAGATGAGATTCTCCTCTTGGCACTAAAGAGAAGCTCTAAAAAATGAAGCCTAGTAATTAGAATTAATTAAAGGGCAGAGGAAGGAGAGAAGCCTAGAGAGATTTTGTCTAGAGATTGACAAAGGCCAAACTGTCAAAACTAAAGTCAAGAGAAAAAACGAGGAAAGGCAAGGCAATGACAAAAGAACACTTGAAGGCTGCTGGCAAGTCACATGCATTGTTTTAAAGGTTGTCTTCCTTTTCTTAGTATTAAATGAGATAGGCTAGCATAACTCACAGCTATCAACATGTTCCTTAATGTTCTAGTTGGCTAGCGAGTGACAAAAGGAGCCAGGGAACAGATCAGAATTTGGTTCTGGAGTGCACCTGCAATCCTGCCAGGTCATGTTTGCTACTTTGCTGGGCCAATTCATCATTAAAAGCAGCACCCCAATGGTTACAGACGTATTTTCACTTTGACAAGCCTTTATTTAACAGCTGTCAACGTTCCCAGGTAAAGCAAACAATGTAGGACATTTACACGCTCCCGGTTTAAAGTGTTTTCTCCCTTTGTGAAGGGACAGCAACAACATACCCTAAAAATTACTACCTACATTTATTACACGTACACATTTATTAGTCTCAGATTTAAGAAACATGAAATGTGGTATGTGTCCAGCTCATATATGAAGAACAATGGATATCTGCTGCCAGCATGGAAAATTAAAAGCCCCTGGGTGAGATTCTGGTTCCAATGTGATCAAAGGAAGAATTCTAGATTACATTTCAAATTTCTCTCCAAGGTGAAATCCTTACCTCAGATGTGAGTGAGTATGTATGTATGCATGCGCATACATTTGAGGCAAGTGCCTGGAAGAGATGACTTCAAACATGAAGTAGTCATCTTACTGGTGCTGTAGAAGGATTGCCCGACACTGATGCTAACCCTGATACCACCTCAAAACAATTTCCCACCCGCACACAGGACTGCCTCTTTCTTAAGATCATTTTCAGTCCAACCCAGCCGACCCACATGATGCAGACGTGAAAGGTTGCTTCCACCTGGGCTAGGAGTCCATCACTTGCCCATGAGCACAAAAGCTAAATCCTTCATGCACTAACACATTTCTTCTGCTTTGGAAAATTCCCAGAAGAACAAGAATTATCCCTGTGAATAAGGTGTTTGGGATTCATCCTGAGGCACCATTTAATGGTGCCCCTGATCTCCAGTCCTCCTCTACACAGCGACAACCATAATATGAGAACAGTGGACATTCTAATACTTCAGAACAAAGTGTCATAAAGACTTTAAAGCTCCAGGACAAGGGCCCACTTGGAAACGATGTTTTCCAAACATTGTGAAGAGATACCCTTAGAGGTTAAAATGTTTTTGCACTTGTCCCTAAGGGTGCCCTCTGGGATCTATCCCCACAATTGCATCACACATCTCTCTGCTGAACAATTGCTTAATCAGACTGGACTGAAAAACATTTTCCATAAATTCAGTCTCAATACATGAGGTAGTTTGCTGATGCAGTATCATCACATAGTCAAGAAAAAAAAATTTAATATCCCTTAGGAATTTGCCTGTGGTGTTTTGGGCTATATCTCTTACATTTTTACATAAAAGATATATGGTGAGAAAACTGAAATCAAGACTGTTTGACAGAGCTAGTTCCATTGCCTCACTTGAGTACTCTTCTGGCAAGTACTCTTAAATCCTAGAATGGCCTAGGCTGGAAGGGACCTCAGAGATCATCTAGTCCAACCTCCCTGTTTTGGGCAGGGATGCCACCTCTCGACTAGACCTGGCAACACATGGGGACCGAGCGGGAATCGAACCCGCTACCTCGGTGTTGGTCCTTGTCGCCAGCACCGCGCTCAAACCACTGAGCTAACCGGCCCAGTATAGAAATCTCCCACAAGAGGAGATACAAGAAACACCTGTGAAAGAAGCACCATGTGGTGTTTCAAGGTACACAAGATGTCTTCCAGAGTACTAGAAAAGTGCGACGAAGGATAATCATTCTATGTGCTATGAAGGATAATCACCATAGATGGTGGTGTGGAGGTACAGCTAAAGCTAAAGACACAGGATCTGGCTTCTCAGGCACCTAGTCTTAAAGGCACCTAATTTTAAAGAAAAAGATTTGGTAGATTTAGCACCTTAGACAAATCCCAACTTCAGCTTCCAGAAGAACAGGGTAAATTATATATCAGGGCCTCAGCAGATTTGAAATCCATAGCTGAATATATATTTGCATTATATTTGGTGATAAATAAACACGTGTGAGCTTTCATTCACATGACTGAATGAAACTGAGTCTTGATCAAACTCCACCCAAAAAGAAACGGACCTCAGTCTCACTTTACCAGTCACCAGATAGACTTGAATTACACTCACTGTTATCAAAGTTAAGTTTGACAGAGTACTGACGTTAATTTGCTCTTAAGAGAGTGAGGGACAGCACTTCCTCCTCATCCTAGTTCAATCCTTTAAGAGGTTCTGTGGCAGGCTAACTTCCTATTTTCAGCACCTTAGTTCTCTGATTGAAATAAGCTTCATCTAAAAGCACCAGGCAAATTATAGTTTATGTACATATTTCTTGTTTACTTGTTTGCACAGATAAAGTAAACACTACCAAGCCTATCCAAAAACCAGGTGTTGCCATTTACACAAGCCGTAGTTCTGGATTTGCATTAGTTATCTCAGCAAAGTCCAAGGACTTCTAAAACGTCCAACATCTGCCCCTCTGTTCAAGAAGGGAGGTACTCATGCTCAAGTACATCAAATAACTTTCCACGCTTACTTCAAAGACGTATGGTAGATGAGGGAAACAAGATTATGGAGGATATTAAAAATACATAAGGCTTAAGCATCTGAAATAAGCAGGGGTGGGGAGGATGGGACACAAGTTTCTGGGACAAAACATCAAGATCATCACAGAGGGTTTGTTCTGGACATAGCTTGTGCTATACTTTTTTTGTCTTGGACACATCTTCCATTCAAAGACAGCTAGCGCTGTATCTCTGGAGACTCTCTTGAATTAACAAACTCAGTCTTTCGTTCCTTCCTCCTTCTTTCTTCATTCCCCCAAGATCACTAAATGAGAATTTTCTTCACCAAGAATGAAATGCCGAGGAAATAAAGCATAAAACAGAAACTAACTGCTAGCTTTCATTCACGCTTAAGCATACACACCATTTAATGTTATCAGAAACTGCTTTTCTGGTCCTTACGCTATAACTCCTGCACTTAAGAGAAACAAGGCTTTCTTCTCATTCTCCTAACTGCATTACAAAAACTGAAGAAGCTCGGGTGGACTACAGCTTTGCTTCTATAAGAACCCACAGGCTCAGCTAGAAGTGTCTTCATAAGTTCTACAAACAAAGCATTGTCAGAGAGTGCCTCTCCATCATACCTTCTTTTTCTCTTCATTTTCTTTGTCCTCACCATCCCAGTGCCAAACACGTTTCATATCTGCGAATATCAGTCTGATGCAGCATATGCTGCTGAAGAGGACCTCCTTGTGACAGGAGTGTTCTGCTTCTGTCAGTCCTAAGAGAAAAAGACAAAAGCCACTACTTTTCTGACTTCTTATGTGGCTGAAAAAGCATTACCTTCGTTTTCAGGTTGCTGTTTTATCACAAAGAAATGCTTGCTTTTGCAAGTAAGGAGCATTTGTCTCCCTTGATAAAACAGTCAGAAACTCGAAGCACTGCGGTCCACTTCTACCTTGTTTATCTTGCTGTAAATGCTTTGAAATGTTTCTACTGGTCTGTTAACTCCTGTTTCTTGATTTGTCACCCTGTCCTATGTATATGTGCAAGCCATCTGCTCAAGTTCCTCAAACTTCCGTCTTCGACAAAGAAAGTAACCACAGATCACCTTGGTACAAGAACAGAATATGTACAGCACCGTAATAAACGATGTCATCACAAAAGACATTTTAAAAACCTCTACTGAGTTTTCTGATGGTGCTTTCTTGTGACATCATTTCCATTAGATTGCCACTTAAACAGCCCAAGCATAAACTGTGAAGACCTCACTCAAATGCAGCTAAACCATCATCATCTACTCAGAGCAGCTACAGTGCAAAACTACACATTTTGCTAAAAGGTACCTATACACAATAGACTGCAAGGATGCCTGGACGAGGTGGCCTCTTACATGACGTTTTCAGTCATTCATTTCTTCCCTAGGTTAATTTCAAAGTTCCAGAGGATTCTTCTGCAGTATCTACAAGCATTTTCTACCACCGCACTCAAGTGGAGCTTAAAAAAAAAACAACGGAAAAACAAATAAGCGAGCCAGAGGCTCACCAGGTCAGCCTCCTTGCTTTGCCAGCCTGACGTAAACTGAATCGGTCTCTTTGATCCACTTCCTGCAGCACCCAGGCAGCACTTCATGCAGAGGTTTTGCGCGGTCACCGAAATCCAGAATCTGAAATGTTGGAGGAACTGGGCTCTTCAAGTTTACCAGCTGCTCTGGCATGTGGTATTACCATCCTGAGATAATGGAAAAGAAAATAATTATGGTAAAAGTTAACTGCTACCATCCCTTTTTCAGGTAACTAATCAAACCAAGGCCACCAGAAAGCTGAGGGACATGCTGCGTTTCAGCTTGGAAAGGGATGACCAGGCTGGCTTATTCTGGAGAATGTAGCACATGAAACTACTCCAGGATCAAATACAGCAAGGGAACACCTTGGTTCCAGTTTTGAAATGGCATTCAAGTTTTCACATAAAGTGTTCTAATACAGGGGATCAGGCATCGGCATGAAGAAAACTATTTCCAGGGACGCCAGTAGAGCAAGAGGCACAGAAAACAACAGGAAACACTGAAGCCTTTTGTTTCCTTTCCTCCTCACACATTATCAAAGACAGCACCTGTCCGTTTGCAGGTCTTTATTTGTAAAACAAGCAAACCTGAGCCCCAAACAAGAAACAAAAACACCCAACATCCTACGTCTGGATACATTACTTTCTCAACTTCTAGTAAGCAAAAAGAAAATGTAAATAAATCGAGTAAATAAATGTAAATAAATGTAAATAAATCAAGTTGCAGACAAGAAAAAGACAGTCTAAAGAATTAAGCTATGCAAGGTGCAGAGGACACTGACTGAAGCATCTCCAAGTACAGCACATGCCATTTTGTAGGTATAAGGAAACTATCTTAAGGCAGGCAAGACTAATAAGGAGCTCTTAGGTACACAAAAACGCTAGCTGTGCTGAAATTCTGCTCCAAGAAATAATAACCCAAAGCACTTGTCCTCCCTGGTATCCGGGACAAAGAAACATTAGACTGTCCTTGCTGTCACTTCACTAATTGGTCCATCAGAGACTGCACGACCTAATTATCCCAGATGCTCTCTTTTGCACTTGGTCAGCTTGCCATTGTCTTGCATCTCTACTGCATCCTGTAACGTAAGATTAAAAAACAGAACTGAAATTTCCTCCAAAAGGGATGAGCAACCACAGGTGAACAGGTTGATATATACTGGGGTTCACTCAGGAGGCAGAGTGTTTCAGAGTGCTTTTTTCCACCTGTCACCTTCCTAGGAAACCTCTGCAAAAGGAGGACACGCCATCATTCAGCGCACTCCAAGGCACGAGGTAAAACTACCTGGGGATAGCAAAGGTGCTTAGAGCTCAACAAGTACTTGAGCAAATTCGGACAAGTGGAAATAGCTGGCAAATAAACTAAAAGCATGGTACTACCCCAGCAGCCCTAAGTGAAGGCCACGGGGCTGGGCTCCACGTTCCATCACCAAGATCTTTCCAGCGTCCATCCCAACTGCAAGCAGGCACTGATGAATCACAGAATGGCCTGGGCTGGAAGGGACCTTAGAGATCATTTAATCCAACCTCCCTGTCACGGGCAGGGACGCCTCTCAACTACATCAGGCAACACACGGGGATTAAAAAGCTTCTTCTTTTCAACTTGGCTCCACCAACTCCACGAAGCAGTGATGACAGCCTGGCACCCACACATCGGCAGCTCGTGTCCAAGCTATGCTCGTCTACGGGCACAAGGCCAGGGGAAGAAAAAGAGGGTGGCAGCACTCTCACCGGGCGTCAGCTTCCATCCCGCTGCA